GATGATGATGAGGATGGTGATGATGACCATGACCTTGAAGACAGTAGGTGCTAGGGGGTGCGGTGCTCGAACAAGGTCATCACCATCGCAACTTGTCCATCGACTAGGTAACTAAGTCATCAACACTTCGTCAATAGGGATCAGCTTTTGACACGCCGTCGTCGTCGCTTCGCTACTTCCACTACATGATCACGTGCCAGTCCTTGGGGCGCGGATCCTTGCCAGTACGGATTTGGGCCTTGTCCTGCATGCTGACTCGAACAGGAAAGGAGAAGAGAGGACCAGCTTTTGGTGTGCAGTGCACAGGTTTAGGCTCACTAGTCTTGAGTCCAAAAGCCTCTCGGTTGTCAGAAGCAAAGCCAAAGCGCCCTCTATCAAGTTGACCCTCTCAACCTAACTGCAATCCGAAACCCTCGTCGCCACAGCCAACAACACCCAACACCCGAGCTGAAATCAAACGTCCAAAACCAACTGCAAATCCTAACTCAGAAGACTTAGTCTGTCTGAGCTTACCAAACCCTGGCACTGAAACGAAACATTATTACAAGTGGCGTAAATTATAAATGCCTAAGCGTTTGGCTTACTTCTACCAGGACTCTACCAACGCAACGGCAAATTAGCCTGGCACCGGCGGCTGCATCGGGCGGGCATAGGCCATCTGACGAAGCAGGCGCAGGGACTTCGTGAATGCTTGAAGCTTGAGGCTCTGCTGGATTTGGGCGTTGGATTATTGTGTCATGTTTTCGCACTTCTACTACTCGCTGAGTGCCAAGACCACAACGAGCCTGTCAAGGTTACAGGCTTGAGGACCGGAGAAGCTTTGAAACCTAACTTTTCACGCCGCTTGTTCACAGGCCGCGGGTTGCGTCAATTTTCTGCTTTTCTTGCATAGACTGTGGTGTGACATTCTCTCTACGTTTTATATTATCTCATTTTTTCGCGTGACGGGGGGGGAGGGGAGGGCTGGTAAACACGTGGACAAAAGGGAAACTTCGCGCTTGTTGGACGAGAACCAGCTCGAAAAACCGTGAACACAGTGTAACCCACGTGTCAAACATGTGACGATGTTAACCGAGCCAGGTGACTGTTTGCACGTGTCTACAGTTTCATTGCGATTGTGTTGCATGTTGTTATATATACCTTACCCCTTTCGAGCACTGATTCTGCACTCTTCATGCCGAAGCAAGACGACATGAGCTCCCACAAATGCCAGTTGCTAATCACGTGTAGTTAGTGAACCATACGACTCCGAGAAGCTCGAATCATGCCCAATTTCGAGCACCTCTCATGTTTAGAACAAACTCGAAATCCTTTCTACATACTCGCAGTCCTTTCTTGAAATATAAATATAAATATATATATATATATAGACCCAAGCACCTGTCCCGGGGCGGGGTAGCCATCTGATTCAGACTCCGATGATGTCCCGGACTCCCAGTCGGTTCGCTTCCTGCCGGGTGCAACGGATATCGAAGCTCTGATATTAACCTACACACACGTATCCTTTCAGCATACACACATATATCTATAGCTCGAACATGTATGCATGTATGTATGTATGTATGTATGTATGTATGTATGTAGGTGTACCGCTCACTCTCTCTCCCTCTGGCTCCCTCTCAGCTCTCTCTCTCTCTCTGTCTCTACCTCCATCTCTCCGCGTCTCTTCCGATCGATTGCTTGTATCGACAGAAGTAATCCGCAAGCATGATACAGTACCTGTCATAATGGAGCGTTGCATGTGCGTGCAAAGGGCATGTAGAACATGTTTACAGTAACCTTCAACAACCAACGCTGGGACTGCTACAGTACTGCTGGTCTCCTTGCCCTTCCATGGGTGTTGCCCCGGTCTGGCAGCGATTTGTCTACTGTTCGGCATCGCTCCTGCCGCGCAACGACCTGCCCTAATACTAGATTCGATCTTCTGCTACATGAAAATCTTCGTTAATGTAGGGGCCTTAATAATTAGAATAGGGTTTTCGGCCGGTTTTAGGGCCCATCTTACAGGAACTCTAATAAGAACCCCAAAATAGTATTGGTATTTATTAAGGCCCTAGAGTACTATAGTATATGTTCTTTACTGTATGAAGGTCGTAAGTTCAGGACCCGGAGACTTCAGGCATCTGTGCCCTAAACCCTAAACCCTTTTTTTACAAGGGACTCGGCTGCTGCCCTTACTGCACCCCAAAGCCCTAAACCCTATACCCTAGACCCGAAACCCTTTGCAGCGGCGGGCCTCGACATCTGCCAGGCCGCAGCAGCGCAGCAGCAGCAACAGCAGCAAGCGGCAAGACCAGCCTTTGCTGCACGTAAAAAAAGGCCCTTGACTTATTTTTGGCTCCCACATGGCATCATCAGCACGCTGACTCTGCATGGCAGCCAACGACTGCCAGCTTGCAAGCACACAGTCGGGAACAGGTGAAACACAAGGCAGAGCTCAAGCTTCCCCTGTCACACCCCAATCGAGCCCTTAACTTATGGAATAGGGTTTTGGGGTATATAATATCTTACTCTAACTCTACAAAATACAGTAGGAAATGTAGCGGATGTTATTACCGCAGTATTTGTTCCGACCCCCGTGTTATTGCATGCCGATAACAGGAGTCAGCCGCAAGTTCCAGAATGTCAGCTGCAGTGTATGTGAGCTTTAAAAACCCTCTTCTAAGAGGGTTCAAAAACCCCTAAAAAGAAGCGTCGCGATGTCGCCGAGTCGCAATCAATGCCGAAAACATGCCGGAAAAGCCAGAGCTGCTTGCGGATGCCTTTCGTGCAAGCTTTGTTTGCTCTCGCTCTTTCATACCAGTATACGTAGACATATATACCTACCTACCTACCTACCTACCTACCTACCTACCTCCCTGCCTACCTACCTATACCTACCTACCTACCTACCTACCTACCTACCTACCTACCTACCTACCTATCTATCTGCCGATCTATCTATCTATCTATCTCTCTATCTATCCATCTCTGTCTCTCTTTCTCTCTCCCTCCCTCCCTCCCTCCATCCATCCGACTCTATGTTTCCCCATCTCAAAACCAAAAAACACGTGCGCGCGTGTGGGTGCTGTGTGTGTGTGTGTACATATGCGTGTGTGTGTGTGTGTGCGCGCGTGTGCGTGTGTGTGTGTGTGTGCGCGCGTGCAAGCGTGCGTGTCTGTCTGTCCATGCATGCATTTTGGCACTCGCGCATGCATTCATACATACATACATACATACATACATACATACATACATACATACATACATACACACATACATACATACATACATACAGACAGACAGACATACATGCGTACATACCTACATTATAATACGAATACATACAAGAGCACACATACGTACGTTCTTGTTGCGCGGTCTGTGCTTGAGCTTTGGGTCGTTCTCATCGATTGCAGTAGCTCTTGGCACACGCAAAGACAGGAATAAGAAGGAAGCTGCTGACCCTTCTGTTCATGCAAAATTCTGAATATCGGAAATATGAATAGCATGCCTTTTGATTCAAGTAATTAATTAAGTTCGATGTGTCCCTGAAGTCTCTCGGACAACACATCCAATCGTCCAGGTTGCAACAGCCTGGGCAGAGAGCTCCTCCATGGTAGTCAGTGTCAGGAACAGCCTTCGGAGTCAACGTAGAATCTCACGTTCGAAGTGACTCTATAGTCACTCTATAGTCTACGGCACAGCCCTACTTTTTTACAGCCTGGAAATCACCAGGTGTGTGTGTGTGTGTGCGCGGGCTTCATACTCCTCGAAACCGTTGCTACACCCATCACAGGTCATGATGCCACTCAATGCCGCACTCTGCCGTCAGCTCACAAACCCCGTTCATACGCTTTTCAACAACTGGCCTACTCGCTAGACCGCTAGACCATGAAGCCGAAACGATCTTCCATTATCAAGTCTTACCCTCAGCCCACTGTAAACATGCCTCTAGGCGCCGGGGTTCATTAACCATTGTTCTTGCTTGTGACCTGTGCAAATTCTACCAACTCCTCCGCGGCTTTGACACGATGATTTTCGTCAGCTGTCATTTTCTGGCTGGGGAGTTTATGTCAATTACGCGTGATTTGTTTGTGAGCACCAAGCGGTGAATACAAGGTTGTGGATGAACCCATGGTCACCTGGCATGTTTCAGGCAATGTCTGCGCAACTGCCTCGTGCTTCTCTCACATTATATCCCATGATTCATAATGTACATTTGTCCGCTTGCTCCGTAGTTTCCCGTATGTACACCAACATGCCTGTTCACATAACCCGACACCCAGAGGTATCCAATATCTCAAAGCTTTGCCCCCTAAAGGCCCTAAACATTCAAGCTTGGACTCGAAATTAAGTTCAATCTTGAAGGGGAAACCAACATGTATAGTAGACTATAGAATATTTATTTATTTTGTACTATGTTGTAATAATAATAATATATATATATATATATATATATAAGTATAACCGTATACAATGATTGAAGAGGTGCCGTATACTATGATTGAAGAGCTGCAGCTAGGATGCTGCTTCATTGGAGGCGCCGTCCACTGGACTCCTCTTTCTTGGAGCTTTGAACTGACATTTCGGTGTTAAAAATGTAGGGGCCGTAAGGCTTAGACTGTACACTATATTTATAAGAAGGAACCCCCAAAATAGTATAGGACATTTTTAAGGCCTCTATATTAGGGCGTCAGTGTCCGGATGGCAGTGGCTTGGATTTCGGGGCTTATAGGATTTCTGGGACTCAAGATCAAGGCGGGCTTCACTCCAGTGTGCATGGAAAAGCTGAGTAACTGCTTGCTGCTTGCGTTCGCATGGACTTCTAAACGCAGAGGTTGTAGAGCCCCAAGAGTGATCTGTATCAGTATAAGTTACTGGCCCGGGTGACGGAGCTGTGCAGGAGTAGCAAATCGTTTGTTGCCCTGTCCCGATGTTGGATCACGTCTGTCATTAGTTGGCTTTGAAATCCCTACCGCTGAGGTAAATTCTGTGAAGAGAAAATCCCTGCCTGGAGTGGTCGGTGGACAAATGGAGCTGGGATCGAAGTCAGTGCAGGAGATCGATGTGATCTTCACCTTGCTGCAAGACCAGTGCCCCCACGCAGTCCCGCAGAAGCGAATTCCGGAACAAACAGCCAGACAGGACAGGTCCAGCGAAGCAACGACTCTGAGATCCTATTGCCGCAATGCCTCGACCGGTCGCACAGTTCGCACGTAAGCTCCGAGTAGCGTGTATGGGCCACTTGAAGTCTGCAGGAATGAAGCCCGTATTGACGAGGTCGTCGCGAGTGGCATCGATCTTCGGCGAGATCCTCAGGCTGCGAGAGTCTTTAGACCAGGATCCTCGCACTTCGGCGTCCTTCCAGACAAAGTGATAGATAGATGTTCTCTGGACACATTCGGTCTCTCTTTCCATCCTATTTATAGATATCTATGTAGACATGTGCGCACTCGTCTTGGTAAAACAAAGTATGTGGCTGTACGATGTTACGAGTGAAGTGTATGCAAGCAAAGCCATAAACATACATCCATTTCAGTCCATTTCACCACATTTGCCGCACCTTACGTATGGTGGAATCCTATCTGTACTGATACGTGTTCGAGTCGCATCCTCTAGCCACGCCTGCCATCAGGTTCTACTCTTGCAGCTGATCGGCAAGCGAGTGATAGATGCAGTCCCCAGCTCCGTGGCTTGAACTTAGCTTCTTCCGCCGACGTTACTGCCTTTTGGCCAGGGAGCTTGATGTCACACTTGTCGGCTCCATAGAGAGACACGCCTTGGCGAAGATCAGATGAGTCGCGCCGGGTGCAGTGGCTCGGTCATGCGAGGTGGTTATCTGAACCCCTGCGACCTGCCGAGAAAGCTGCCTTTGAAGGGTGCACTCCCTCTGAAACTGCATGGCTCTGGCACCCCCACCGCCCCCCCCGCTTCATCCTAGGCATGGTAAGGTCGAGCTGCATGTGCTGCACAGACCGGACCACGATCCAGAGGAGCATGGCATGTTCAGCCTCAGGTTTCAAGAAGATAAGTTGACTGTGACAGCCCTCGTCTTCAGGCGAACGGAATGCTTCCAGAACAGACTGGGGCATGATGCATACACAGCGGAGAGCCGTCATGGGAGTTCTTCAAAGACTACGCCGACCACGGTGATCGAAATCAATAGTAACGAGAAAGCAGCCGCCGGCTGGCAATGTGCACCTATCTCTGCGGAGCGCGGCAACTTATTCAACGTAACTTTTTGCTACACCAGGAGCATCTGCTGTTGAGAATACCCGGTCCACGAATGATGCATCAAGTTATTCAGCGCCATTCCAGCCAGAAGGCCACCTGTCGCTTGCACTTCACCCCATCAAGACCTACGTACATATCCTGACCAAGCAAGTTCCGAAGTCCCTTGGCAGAACATGGGCCAAAGGATATTTGGTTCTGCTACAGCCGCACGATGACGTGGGTCCGTACTAGGCTGTTTGACTAGTCCTCTTCAGTTTCACAGGGCGTTCTCGGAGGCTCAGATTGGAATTGCAGTCCACTAAACTTTTTGAACACAAAATGAATGCACATGCATGGGCCATGTGATTCACACACATACAAACACACTCTCTACCTTTCTTGAACTCTCTCTCTCTCTCTCTCTCTCTCTTTCTGCATCTCCCTTGCCTCCAGCAGCAAGGGCAATCTGCATGCCGCTTCCTAGGCATGAACATGAACTAGGCAAAACGGGAACGGCTCGCGGGACAAATCCCTGCACACAGTTCATGCAATTGAAAGCTGATCGGCAATTGGACACACTTGGGGCAGATTGGTCGGCATCTGCAGAGGTCACCTCGTGTGACCTCTGAGCCAAGTGTCCAATATGCAATGCTTGCAACTTGGATTCGCACATGATCATGCCAAGTTATGTGGGCATGCGGCTGTGTCTGAGCTGTTTCGCCTGAAGGCTTGTGGCGATCGGCCCTACACTTGCTTCCGCACATTAAACATTATTCCTCTATACTGTGGAAATTTCGGGTCAACCATGCGCGAACGAGGAAGTCGATCTCTCTCGGAAGGAAACAGTCAAAAACAACAATCGGCTTCCCACCAGTTGACAAGTCTAGCAGTTTGCCACATCGAAACAACTTGGACAAGTCCACTTCGGATCATGTTACATGTTGAGGGCCCGACCGCTCCCGGTTCGACCAGAATAAGCGTTTGCACCAGTGTAGCCATACCTGCTCGTTGGACACACGAGAGAAGCTCAGCTGCGGGGTCCCGATCGGATGCCCTGTCGCTTGGGGGTTGGACGCTGGAACCCGTCGAGAACCGGAATTCCTTCCCAGGCTTGCTGGCTTCTACTTCCAGGGCGCGGTGTGCTGGTAGGCAGCCGGCCGCCGAAGTTACTGGCAGCCGCACTCCTCGACTCTGGCATTTAGGATTTAGGACCTAGAGTTGGAACCCCTGGGCCCTGTTTGGCCATCATCCGGGCTCTTACCAGACCCTATAGTGTCGGTGGACGGAGGCTCTGGCCGCTGAGACGTTGCAGGCTTGTCTGTCAAGCGAGCAGACAAGAAGCATTAGGCTAACCCAGAAACGACCTCGAGTTTCATGGGAAACTCTCTGAGAACATACGTATCAGCCTGAAAAGTCCCTCCAAGCAGGCCACAGGCTCTGACTTGCATAGCCATAGCTGCCAGCTGCAGGGTTCGAGGGGTTGGAGTAATGCCTCGGCTAAGGGAACACCGGAAGCAAGCCACTCGGCGGCACAGCGTGCGAGTATGGCATGGGACTCCAAGCATTTAATCGACTGCGTCTTTGAGTGCTAAACCCTAAACCCTCAACCCTAAACGAAAAACAACAACTTCTCGCTAGTTGGCGTCAAAGCTCTTGTTGTCGTAGCCTGCTGTGCGCCGCCTTTGGCTCATCGGCTCTGTGTAGCCTGATCGGGCTTTGTCTACCGAACTTTCGTCTTCACTCCCACCCTCTTGAAACAAAGCCATCCGACACACTGATGTCCGAATTCTTAGCCTCATCTTGCTTCCTTAAGCATGATAGGTACATGGGCTAAAACCGGTGTTCGAATGATCTCTTTGTGGCAATGGCGTACATGCGTATAGCAACGACAACAGACAGGTCGGAGGGTTTACTGGCGTGCTTGCAAGCCATCGAGAACTCGATCAGGTCCTTTCAGATAAGCCGGCGTCTTCACTAAATCAAGATCCATGCTGTGCTGTTCTTGGTTAGGAAAAACAGCGACCATGTTTCGGCAGTGGCTTTGCAGCCTCCACAGAAGCCCAAACAACTGCTGAGCTGTCTGCGTGTCATATCGGCCGATTGCTGAAAACTGGAACGGCAGCCCGGGAGGAGCATTCCTTGCTCCATCTCACAAACAAGGAAGATTCGATAAGGGAGAATCTGGTTTGGGTCCTCCGCAGCATGTCACCAGAATACTTGCACAATACGAAATGCCCACGGGCACCAAGCACACCGTCCAGCCTCGACGTCTAGCAGAAGCCCCGACTGGCCCGGCCGATGCTGGCCTGACGAATAAACAGACCGTCGCGGCTCCGTGGACGGACAGCTGAACATGATACCATGATCATACTGGCAAGTGAGGAAACTCAGGACTTGAAACAGTAACCCAAAGCCCTTCTCCCAAAGAAGACTTTAAGGTTCCAGCATGGCCACTGAGTAGCTCCCGAGCTCTTTAGCGACTTCGCACGAAAGAACTTCTGTGGCCATTACATACACTCCGTGAAACCCATGTGCCCCGAAGATTCGCAAGATCCCGGAACTTTGAATCTTCAAAACTCTAAACCCTAAACCCTATTGCCTATTGCCTAAACCATAACCCCTAAGCCCTAAATCCTAATAATCCCTTCATAAATCCACATAAAGACGAGGTACGGAGGCGAAGGTGTAGGAGACGGTCCCGGGGAATACGATGCACCTGTCCAGCTCACCAGCGTCTGCTCTAGCCTATTCATTCATATCCCTACACAGTTTGTAGGGCGTAGGGCGTTTTTTCTTAAGGGATCATAAGCTTCAGTTCAAAAGCCGTACACTGCCAACCCCCCGTAAACACGGTGCTTGCGCGTGCCATGCCTGCTTGCTGCAACCTAACACCCAACACGAACCTTCAAAGTTGGCCTTAGACTTGCACACCGCATGTTAAGCCTCACAAAGACCCGCTTAAACCCGAAACTCTAGACCCTACTCTACATAAGCCCGAGAGAGAGCCACTGGATGCAAGCTGGACTACGACGTCGCGGGGAGCTGACAGTCGATGGCGATGGAGCCCTCCGGCGGGGTGAGCCTCGTGCTGCTTGGGTCTGCCAAGACAATCGGATCTGTAAACTTTGGGGTTTCTTGGGTTTGGAGATGTTTAGAATCCAAAGCTTACATCATTGAGTGTATACGGATTTGGAGTAGTTTGGGCGTAAGCTGGCTTTTTGCTCAACATGAGACTCGTCCCCCAAATATCCGAGCCAACATAGCCAATACGACCGGAACAAGCAGCCGTTAACGTGAGATGTGACCCTTTCGAGCTCAGAGACAGCACAGCCGGTTTCAAGAACTGCCGATACTTCAACCGCTGCCGAGCTTGAAGGCTTGCAGTTGCTATTAAAGCCCTTCCCACCTTAACTTTGGGGATTGGTAGCACGGGACAGGAACCTCGGACTTGTCGGATTCAACTGGTGCCTCCAAATGCTCCAAAAGCCATACTGAATGTGTCACTTTGTACGATGTATCATACTATGCTTTACTATATCGTGCCACATGTTCTTACACTTATGTTATACCACATGATGCTATATTATGTTATGTTTTAGATGAACACATCTCACAGTAGACCTGTTTCCCCATAATAGCTAGGCAGGTTTCATGATCATTCGCTCGAGACATAAGACATAAGGGCCCTAAGTCAACTGCAGGCTGCCAGGTTCTACGAAGATCGTTTAGGGTTTAGGGTTTAGGGTTTAGGGTTCCCACTTACTTTAACCGAGGCCTGATAAGCCCCAAACCGGCAGAGACATTCGGCAAAGTACGGAGCTTTAGCATAAGGTGCGACCGAGGTAGGCCCCAGAAGCCAGGCACTAATGTCATCCGAGCGTCTGTATCCTCCAGAGTAACCCCCAGAGTGGCCTCGGGAATAGGCAGATAGTTCGCCAAGATCATCACTTCCGCGCACTGTAGGAAGTCATGATGGAACCCGAAGTTCAGCTTGAACCCTGCTTCAGCAACGAAAGCCATCGTCCCCAAACCTAGACCCTGGAGCAAAGGCAGATGCTTCGGCCCCAAACTCCCGCAGCTTTCGCATATCACACCAGGATTAGAAACATGGGAGGCGCGACAGAACTCTTACCTGAAGCTCCCTGTGCCGGCACTTAGCCAACATACAGATGGAGCCCCGGACGGTAAAACCGTGCTCAGCACCGACATGTTCAAGTCTACGAGTTCGAAGCTGGAGGCAACACTTCAAGATGATCCAGACGAGTCACTTCTCCTGCGACCACTCAGCTGACGTGGTGGCGCCTCCTCCTGACGGTCTCACAAGCCAACCAATGAAGTCACTCGTGATGTGAATCTCCCGTGGCGACGATAAACTCATACAACTTCGGCAGTCGCAGGCCACCTGCGAGCAAGCTTTTTGCAGCCTCCTGCTTGTTCCTGATCCAGTATCGGCCCAAAGCACCCCCAAAAGGCCTAACATGGCCTCACCACCTAACAAATGAACCCCCCAAGACCGCAACCCTTAACCAGAATCCCTACTCTCCCCTGAAAGGATGCTTATAGAAACCTCAGACTCAATCCAGACCCTGCCCAGAGCTCCTCCAAAGCTGACTGGACGACTGAAGCCTCTGACAAAGGCTCCTGCTTCGGGAACACCCTGAAAGCTAAACCCTAAACCCGGTTCTTTTTATGCTCTCACAACTCGGACAAGCCAGGCGAGGAACCATGGGTTACAGGTGGTTCTTTTTAGGATTTCGAAGACGTTGAGGACTTTCGTTGGCTCCCGCATCGCCAGCCACAGTAAGCACTCTGCGCCGGAAGGAAGGCTCCAGTTCAGGGTTTAGGGTTGCCTCCCACCTAGCTAGGACAAGCCCGCATTGCAGGTCAGAAAACATAGAAGTATCGGGTATGGGATGCAGGCTTTTGGGTTTCGACGCTCACGAAACGTATAACAAATAAAGATAAACGAGAAAAGACAGCTGTCGACTCTCATCACCACTGGCTAGTTTGAGACATTGCTCATCTGTTTCAAAAGGCGATCTGAATGAAGTACATACGACTGTCGAGGCCGGGTTTAGGGGACTTGGAACGAAATCCTCAGAGGATACTGGCTAAGCATATAGTCGAAGGCTTGTAAAAGAATTTGAACGACTTGAGCTATGATTGCACGATATGCTTCTGCTTTGGACTCTTGGAGTCTGCTATGAACCTTGTTTTTGTTGTAGGGCTTGTGGCGGCAAAAGAAGCAAATCCATTTCCAACATCCCTGACACACATGGCACGATTTGAATCCTGAAAGTCAACAGAGGAAACAAGGGGAATGGTCGGATGAAGCCTCGGTTTCGAAATCCTGTCTCTGTTGCACTCTAGAGAATCACCTCTGCCCCACGCTAGAAAATCATGATGCGTCTCTCAGCCTCATGGCAACAAAGGTTCCTGGTTGAATTGAAAATCTCCTCGACATGCCCAGCAGGGAGGCCCTCGGCCCCAAGCAAACCGTTTCTCATATTCGCAACCCACTACGCTCGACGGGGTTACTACATCAGTCGGATCTTAAGTCATGACGTCGCTGTCTGCAAGTCTCAGATAATCATGTGAAGGCTTATACTGCCCAATCCCTATAAGCTTATAAGCTTCAGCCTAAGACGGAAACCGAAATTATCCTTCGAAGGCCCGTCTAGGCCCATGAAGCCAGCTGCTAGCCTTCTCCCAGAGATTCTCGACACCCTCCGTCACCTCTCCCAGGCGTCGAGCCACTTGCTGCAGAGTGACTCCGGCCTTTTGGGCAAGTCGTTGTGATGAGAATGATCATGATCATGATGCGCGGGCTTGGGACTCAGGGCCAAACTTTTATCATTGTTGCCGAACGATTGCGATCATCATGTTCTCAAGCCTGTTGTAAAAATTCCTTCATCGATGCCATTCTTACTGTCGCTGTTATGCCTAGGGCCTGTTGTCTTGTTGCCAGACTCTCGCAACTCGGACTCCTCAGAATTAAAGGGTCCAAAAAATGTTTCTGCAGTACTTGCGACTCCATTCTGTGTGCAGAAAACCTCACAGACGTTGCTTGACGATGGGGTCTATTGAGCTCTTATATAACTCATGGTGCTGAGGTTCACAAAGAACCGTCCGGATATGGGTCACCGGACAAAACTTCTTACCGACGTTTCTTGCTATCTGATCATGCTCCGTGGTGCTGCTTCGCATTACTCTTGTTACAGCTGTTGTCAATGAGCCGTAGCGTCCGGAATGGTCGTATCAATGAATGGCTGAGCGACCAGAGGTCAGAGCTGCAACTCTCGAACGAGGCATGAAAGTCCAATGGAAGAGACTCTGCCAGATTACAGTCCCTGTAGAAAGGGGGCTATGTTGCACAGCAAACCACCGAGCAAATCAAGAACCACCCCGTCAAAGGCAAGAAGCAGATTGGTCCGTGATCACTTTTCCTGTTGCCTTGGCTTCAGCATCGATGAGCACTGAAGGGTGGGCGAAAGACTCTGCGATATCCTGACGCCCACTGGGCTCCCGAGAAACTTGAAACCTGAGTCCTGCATGCCTGACTTCAGAGACGTTCAAAAGCTGCAAAGCGGCGTCGGTGATCTCGAAGGCAAGATTCACGGACGCATTGGTAGTTCGGAAGACGGTCAAGATGTGGGGACTGTGTGTCTGCGCCTCAGTACGATGGCTTGCCAAACAATGAGAAGGCAGGATACAGGACCCTATACATTACTCACTGCTGCCTGAATGCTGCATCTACTCCAGTGCACATAGAAATGTGTTGACGATCAGCGGCACTACCATCACTCACTACTGTATTGTACCAGCACTGCTCGTACTACTGGTACTGTTGGTACTACTATAGGTACTAATACTTGTACTAGTACTACTACCTCCTACAACTACTACTACTACCACTACTACCACTACTACTACTACTACTACTACTACTACTACGACGACTACGACGACTACGACGACTACGACGACTACGACGACTACTACTACTACTCCTATTCCTACTCCTACTCCTACTCCTACTCCTACTCCTACTCCTACTCCTACTCCTACTCATACTCCTACTCC